GGTTAGAGTCTCCTCTTGAAATAAGTTCCAGAGCTTAAGGAGGCTAGGGAAGAGGAGGAAGTGGGGGTGGGAGTAGGAAGGATGCCTGGTTCCCTCCAGTTTGTTTACCCTTGGGATAAATGTTTATGGGAATAGATAAACTTCCTGAGTGTGAAGCAAAGACCCTTTTTAAACCCCTTCAGCTTCTGGGCTGCTGGGCTTTGTGCCCAAAACCAGAACGGGAAGGAGGAATTTGTATTTGGGGCTAGCAGCAGTTGAGTGAGAGTGTGGGTGGGTTGGGATACCATTCTACCCTAATGTCAGGAGATAGATAACCTGGGAATACCAGAGTGAAGCCGTCTCTGGTGGATGAGCTCAGCCCACTGTACTGAAGGACTTTGAGTGCTGTGTCCAGATTCATTACTCATTTTGCTCTATAGGTCCTTCTACTTCCCCCCCCCCACTCATCTGAAACACACACCAGGACCTAACTTGGGTGGTTAGGCCTGATCATGTCTCTGTCTCATCTAGTCTGCCATCCCTCTCTCCAGAGCTATACGTGCTCTGACTGTGCTAAAAAATGGCAGCAGACCACATTTCCTTGTGGTCCTTGGCTCATGCTGTGCTGTCCTGGAGGCAATTAGTACCATGTTTCCATAACTGGTATTAGTAGCTCATGTCTGAATAGTGTTTACATGCTTTACATTTACCTCTTAATCCTCAGAACAACTCTGTGAGGTAGGAGCTATTATTACCAGCCCCCTTTTACAGAAGAGGAAGTAGGCCTGCCTCTGGTCATAGTGTTTTGAGTTAGGATTTGAATCCAGGTCTTTCAGACTGGCTCAGCAATGTAGTCCCTATACCGTGCTCTTTTTCAAGCTCAGGACCTTGCTACCCTTTACTTCTGTTTACTTTGGGTTATCTCACCAACTCAGTTTGAAGGGGAGAAATACCCCATTCCTCACTATAGTATGGTATGAAACTGGGTAAGCTGTCATTCCAGAAAGCTGAATATCCTCTAACCACCCATGAGCAACGGGGAATGGGAATCCTGGCTTATATTCTAGTTCCAAAATTGTATTTGTATAAAGGTGGAAGGTGACGAGGAAGTGGTACTCTCATGGATACAGGTCTTGTTTCTGTATATGTCCTCTTTTCAACTCACACAGTTACCACCCAAGATCAGGTCCTTATCACCTCTCTTCTGGACTATTACAATGGTTTTCTGGTTGGTCTATCTGCCTCATGTATCTCCCCACTCCAGTCTATCCTCCATTCAGCTGTTAAAGTGATTTTCTTGAAACACTGATCTAACTGTGTCCCTGCCCCTCACCCACACACATTCCATAAACTCCAGTGGCTCTCCATATTCCCTCTAGGATCAAATATGAAGTATTCTTTGGCATTTAAAGTTGTTACACCCTTCCATGTCTATGATTCAGATGCACTGGCCTTGCCCTGCCTCCCATGTGACATCCTATATCCCATACATACCCTATGCTCTTTGTCCATCTCCCTCTCCTCTCTCACCGTCTGACTTAAAAACTTAGCTCAGATGTCACCTTCTGCAGGAGGCCTTTCCAGGTCTCCTCCCTCATGCTTTCCACTCTGAGATTACCTTCCATCTACTCTGTATTTCTTTTATGTACCTAGTTATTTACATGTCTTCAAGCTCCTTGAGGGCAAAGACTTTACCTTCTTTGTCTCCTCACTGCTGAGCAAAGTGCCCGGCCCATAGAAAACACTTAATAAATGCGTTTTGCTTAACTAAACCCCTTGATACCACAGCTACACTTTACATCATATGCTGTGAAGCAAATTTGAAGCTTTTCATTCCATCCCAACTCCCTTTCTTTGGCTTGGCTCCCACTACCATCCACCTATGTAAGGGTATCCTTATTCCCCAGATGGGCAGCTAGGTGACGCAATGCATAGAGTGCTGGGCTTGGAGTCAGGAAGACTCATCTTCCTAAGTTCAAATCTGGCTTCAGATTCTGCTAGCTGTGTGACCCTGGGCAAGTCACTTAACCCTGTTTGCCTCAGTTCCTCATCTGTAAAATGAGCTGAGAAGCAAATGGCAAACCACTCCAGTGTCTGCCAAGAAAACCCCAAATGAGATCACCAAGAGTTGGACACGACTCAAAAACAACTGAGTGACAACTACCCAGATAATTAGAGGCTGGAACTAGGAGGATTTTTGTAGATTTATTTGAGTGATGTCTAAGCATAAGACCCTGTTCCTGGGGTTAGGGAATACAGAGGGAAAAGGGTGAGGATCTCCCCACCATTACCACCATTACCACTGGGGCTTTGGGCCCTGAGGACTGGGAAACCAAAACTCCTGTGCCCATGGGGCATGGTTGCCAGAAGCAGGTCATACGCCTTTTTTTTGGATAGAAATCTGGCCACTTTCCCGTTATGCCTTCAGTGGGCACACTTCCCTGTCAATAATGCCCTCCTGTCCCTATGAACAGCAAGACTGAGATGCCCCCATCTCCCTACTCACCCACACGAAGGGGGAGCCAGCCCTCCTCAGAGCAGATGCAGCTGGGGCAGTGACACCCTTCTTAGAAAAGAGGGTGTAGCATCCCAGGAAGTGAGCAACCTTCCTGGAGAGTGGGAAGCATCAGGCAAAGACAGGGGAACTGTGCCAGTCAGAATAAACTAGGAAGCCAGAGAAGGTACTGTCTGTCTTGACACTGGCATAGATGCCAATGTAGTCACCCACTCCCACTTGCACCCAAACTTGGTCCTCAGGTTCCAGTCTTACTAGGGCTCCCCCAGAGAGTGATGCTGGCTTTGGCCATCCCCCAAAGAACTGGAAGAAGGAAGCCACCGATTCGCCATTCTTCACAAGGTCGAACTGCAAGCTAGCGCGGTAGACAGTGGCGTGGACAGCAAAGTAGTAGAGGCCAGGCACCTGGCAGGTAAACTTGCCCGTGGTAGGATCATAGTGCCCCTGCTCGTTCACCAGCACCCGGTCGAATGGCAAGGGTGTGTCAGCAGGTGGAGGCACCCGGCTTTCTGAGCGTTTGGCACTGAAGGCTGACCTGGGAGGCACTGCGCACTCACCCGCTGGCCCTGCTGCTCCCATTGGCCCTGACTCTCCTGGTGGCCCCGGGTCCCCCCGAGGCCCAGGCAGTCCTGTGGGGGTAAGAGACAGTGTTAGGAGTGGACATAATGGTCACAGCTGTGGAGGCAGAGGGACCTTCGAAAGTTCTACCCTATTTCCTTCATCCCTCACCAGGCATAGTTCCCTCAGGAAATGTAGTTGAGATGGAATAGGAGGTGTGCTGTAATGGAAAGGGCAATGAGGACCAGAGTTCAAATTCTACCTCTTCTAATTCCTTGAGTTTGGCATGCCACTTGAGAATCACAGGGTTTAGAAATGGAAGGTTTAGGGAGCATCTAGTCCAATCCTTGTCATTTTACAGAAGAGGAGACTGAGGTCTCGAAAAAAGTGAAACAACTGTGCCTTCTGGGTCTGTTTCCTCCTATGTAAAATGAGGGGAGGAGAGAGTATTGGGCTAGATGATTTCTAAGATCCTTCTCTGCTTTCTATTTTATTATCTATGAGTCTGTGGGAACAGGTCTGCCCCCATCTTTCCTCTTTTCCCTTTCTTTACCATATTCTCCAGCCAATAGAGCTTAAGAGATATGTTGGGCAGGGGTTGAACGATGGGGGCAGGTCCCAAAGAAAATCCGGTTCTACTAAGGAATTCCTGCGCCTTCTGGCGTGATAAGGGGTACTGGGACCGACACAAACTCTCCAAGGGCTGTGCTGGGGCCAATAAGCCAGTGAGTAGGGAGAGATGTCCCTAGGGGAGGAAGAAGCAGGGAAGGAGTGAATCATTGGGGAAGAGCATACGAGAAGAAGGGAGAAAGAACGGTAAAGGGGGGCGGGGTGAGGTCTTCTTACCCGGGTGCCCGCCGGCACCCTTCTCGCCTGGAGTCCCAGGCGCCCCATCTCGCCCATCTCGGCCATCGCGGCCAGGCAGGCCTTGGTTGCCGTGATGCCCGGGGGTACCCGGGACGCCAGGATGGCCGGAGCACAGGCTGGGGATCTTGTTGTCGTCCAATGGGGGCGAGCCGGCCACCAGGGCCAGCAGCAGGAGGGGCAGAAGCGGCCTCATGGCGCTGGGGCTGGGCGCCAGGACGGCTGGGTACCTCCTAGAGGAGGGGCTGGCTGGGTCCCGCAGCCTGCGGGGAGGGGGGATAGGGGCAGGCTGGGAGTCAGGACCCCTGATCTAGGGTCCTGCCTCTCTTCTCTCCCCATCCTAGCCCCTCCCTGCATTTCAGGCTACAACCGAGAGGGGTGAGACATATCCTGGGATTATGGGGAGAATTCTTCCCCAGGACCCGGGAGATCCCAGAGCCCAGCCAAAAGACAAAGAAGGGGAAAGCAGAACGCAGCTCCCTCTCTTTCCACTGAAACTCCCCTCTGGTCCATATTTCCCCTTCTCTTCAGGCTGTTTCCCTCCCTGCCCAATCCTATCTTACCCATAGCCCCTTTCCCATCCCTAGATTCCTCTGTCCCCCTCCTTTATTATTCCCTGGGTCCCACCTCCACCCTCTGCCTTGACTCACCCCTCTCTCTGCCCCCGAATCAACAGGCTGGCTCTCTCCGCTGTCTCCTCCGAGCCGCTGGCCTCCCTTGACCCACAAAAACTTGCCTATTCTCCCCTCTCTGTCTGTGCTCTCCACGCCCCGAAGGCCCCCTTCTCCCCTCCGGGTCACCGGCTCCTGTACCCCTAGTCCCGGCCGCTCCTCCCAAACTCGGAAAGGAAACCAGCAGTCCAGACAGCCAAGAGTGACGGGCTGGGAAATAACTATGTCTCCAGGGCACCAAGCCAGGGGATTGAGGGGCGGGAGGAAGGCGGAGAGCAGAGGAGGGAAGGAGATGTGAACAGAGATCTAGAGAGAGAGAGATCTAGAGAGACAGAGAGATCTAGAGAGAGAGACAGAGATCTAGAGAAAGAGAGAGAGAAGCAGAGAGACAGAGATCTAGAGAGAGAGAGAAGCAGAGAGACAGAGAGAGATGGATGGAGGAACAAGGAATGCAGAGAAGGCACAGAGGGAAAGAAGGAGAGAAATGAAGCCTAACACATTACCTGGCCCAAGACCCAATGGCTAGGTGCTTAATGAATTTTGTGGAATCGAAATGGAGAAACATGGTGTTAGAGAGATGCAGAATGAAACAGAGACTGAGTGAAAGATGGAGCAACAGAGAGAAACCAGGAGGAAGATAGACAGCCACCAAGGCAGAGGAATGCAAAGATGTGGAGGAAGAAGAAATATCAGGAGATATCAAAGGACCAGAAACAGAAAAAGGCAAAAAGAGGAGTAACAGAATAACAAAGGAGGGAAACAAAGGGAGGGAAGACTAATAGAATAGCTAAGGGTTGGGGGTACGGGGGACAGGGTGGAGAAGAACTAGGAAAAGAAGGTGGAGTAATAGGAGAGAGGTGATTGTTTAAGAGGACAGTCCAGCACTCCCCTGCCCTATGTCTTCCCTGTCCCTTAACTTTAGAAGGGGTTGGCATGGCCAGATACTTGGCGTTCCCAGACTTGATAATGGTGGAGATCAGAGGTCACGGTAAGGGGGGAAGGTGAGGGGAGGCCTTCTCCCTGACTCAGGGCCAGGTGCACCCTGCTGGGTCAGAGGCATCAGGTAGACTTTTACAGTTGAAGGACCAGGAGATGCCCAGTGGCTCCAGATCAGGCTGGCAGTGGTGCTCAGCTTCTAGGCAGACAGGGCGACAAGGTGGGAGGATTCCTCCCGAGGGGGTACAGTGAGGCAGGAGCAGCCCACATAGGAGTCTTCGGAAAGGCTGGTAACAGGGCAGGTCTGTCAGGGTCTGTAGTTTGTAAAGCGGGGGAAGTTAGGAAGGCTGGGTGTCCCACTGCCAGCTCCTCATCCTTCTCCCCGATCTGGCCTTGCCTTGGAAATGTCTATTTGGAACTGCTGCTCTCCCAAGTCATTCCCAGCTTACTTGGACTCTTATTGCTATTCTAGCTTCCCCCCTTCTTACCCCTCCCCCAGACTCCCTTTTTGACACCTTGTATTCTTTCAGCATATCTTCAACTTCCTGTTGACTATCCAGGGTCATCAAAGTATTGGGGAAAGCTGTGGTGTTGTAGCTGAGGCCCCAGCACATTTCCACCTGAATGGGTTCACAGGCTGGCTCTGTGGAGGAGTGAGGATCAAATGGGCACATTTAGCATCACTCTGTTGCTCCAGATATCACCTTGGGCACAACAGCCCTGGCCTTCTGGCACTTTGGGCCATCATCCCTGCAATCTCCCAATTATCGGAGCTTCTCCTCAGCCTCTCCTCGGCCTATGGGTCTGAGGTGAGCAGCCAGCCCCACCAACATCCTCACCAAAGGGTGGGTGGGAGAGGCTGCTGCAGTTGAATTTGTCACTGCCATCACTGCAGTTTCTCCAGCTGTTGCACATCTGGTGAAGGTCCTTGCACCCTCCATCCTGGCAGGAGAATGCCCCAAGTCCACAGGGATCTGTCAGGCAGAACACAATGGAAAGCGGAAGCCCTGAGCACAGAACTTGTAGCAGGGTGTAAATACCCTCCCCAGATCCCCATCCTGCTCCCACAGCTGGGGCGTAGACCTTCTTCCTGTCCCTATTAGAGTATTAACCTCTGCCCACTTGCCCCCCCCATCTCTTTTGTGCCCCCATGACACCTACTGTCAGTAGTATTGAAGGCCTGGTAGGTCGCAGAGAATCCCATGCTGTTGATCTGGTAATCCGTCACAAATACCACAGTCAGTTCATGGTGTGAGGAAATGAGGGGCGGAGGCAGCTTGGTGCCACAGAACCTGCTCAGAGTAGATGGTACCCCAGTGTGAAGGGGGGGCCTCTGAAGTCTCTGGACACAGATTTCCCCAGAAGATACAACTCAGTTCAATAATTGAATGGTTCCCTATTACTTCTAGAATCAAACACAAGGATCCTCTCTTTGGCACATAAAATCCTTCACAGCTTAGCCCAAATCTACATTTTCAGGTTTCTCACATTTACCATCCCCTCCCCACCGCACTTCATGCTGGTCTTCTTATAGATTCTTACATGTGACATCCCATCCCAGCTCCAGTCCCAAAGACTGAAATGCCCACCCTCCGTCTCTCCTCTCCTTAGAATCCCTAATTTCCATTAAAGGTCAGCTCAGGAGCCACCTTCTACATTATACTTTTCCACCTCCCATACTTTCTGTATATACTTATATGTAAGCAACTAAGTGGCACAGCAGATAGAGTACTAGATTTGGAACCAGGAAAACCTGAGTTCAAATCCTGCCTCTCACATTTACTAGTTGTGTGACCCTGAGCACATCACAACTTCCGTGAACTTCAATTTTATCATCTGTAAAGTGGGGGTAATAACAGCACTCACTTCACAGAGGTGAGGACCAAAGGACATAGCATATATAAAGTGCTTTGCAAATTTTAAAGCACTACAAAATGCTAGCTATTGTTATTATCATTTGCAATAGAGTTCTGACATGTATGAGGCCATTTTAGCAAATTGGTGGGGTCTGCTTATGTCCAGAAGTCCATTATAATGATTATTGTATATGTCCATGTGTTTTCCTCCGATAGAATGTGAGCATGAATTATTTCACTTGGGGTTTGTATTCCCAGCCCCTCATACAGTTCCACATATCTAACACTACCTTGTGTGTCTTCAATAGCTATTTGCTGTTTACTATGGGGTCATCAAGAGCTAGACACGACTGAAACAACTAAACGACAAGAGCCTGTCACAAACTTATTTTTCCAACAAAGGGGCAGCTAAGTGGCACATGAGTAAAACACAGGACCTGGAATCAGGAAAACTTCAAAGGGGGTCTTAATTACTTAGCTGTGTGACCTCATGCAAGTCACTTACCCGCGGTCTGCCTCAGTTTCTTCATCTCTAAAATAGGATGATAATAAAAGCATCTACCTCCCAGGATTGTTGTGAGGATCAAATGAGATGATATTTGTAAAGTGCCTGCAAACCTTAAAGTGTTATGTAAATGCTAGCTATGGTGACGATGATGATGATGTAAATAGTAAATAACTATTGAAGATTTTGGAGTATGGGAGTAGTAGAAGATCTGCTCCCTTGCGTCCTATCTCACAGGCCCCTTCTTGGACATGAGTAAACCCCCTCCCTCCCCTCCCCTCCCCAGCACAGTTCTTGGCACATAGTAGGTGCTTAATACTTGTTGGTGTTTTTGTGTGGCACTTTTTTTTTTTAGGCAACTGGGGCTAAGTGACTTGCCCAGGGTCACACAGCTATTAAGTGTCAAGTGTTTGGTCTGAGACCAGATTTGAACTCAGACTTCAGGGCCAGTGCTCTATACACTGCGCCACCTAGCTGCCCCACTTTGTTGATGTTTTTGATAGCAGACCCGTGCCTCCACCCTGTCTGCTAGGCTTCTCCCTTTACCTGCCCACTAGGTTGAGGGCTCCTGTGTCCATGTTCTCAAGGATTTCCACATAGTCAAATTCACAATTCTTATGGGTTTCCAGGCTGAAGTTGTGAAAATGCAGCTCAATGCCATGTCCAGGGGGTACTGAGATCTGCCAGAGGCAAAACTGTAGGGAGGAGGTACTAAGTTCATTTCATGAGCATATGGAGTGTCCACTATGCTCTATTCACTGTGCATAGGAATACCAAGTGCAAAGTAATTCCTGTCATTGAGGGCAAGGGCATCTTCCCCTTGGATCTAAACTGGGCAACCCCTGGGGGTACCATCCAAGGTGGCATCCCAGGCCAAGGGACCATGCATACCAAGGAAGCTTCTGGTTCCTCTTTTTTCCTTGTCAGAACCAAAGTCTGTTTAAGAGTCCTATGTTTTGGTCTAGCATTGGTATCGTTAGTATTAATCTAGCAATAGGAATACTTCTTTAGAACCAGAGTTAAAAGAAAATTTAAGGGTTGGCTAGGTCAACCTCCCACCTGATGCAGGAATCATCTCTCAAACCTCCTCAACCCCCTTAGTGCCCAGCCAAAAAAAAAAAAAGAAAAAATCCTTTTCCATCCAGATGTTGTATTCTTTTTTCTTTTTACTATTCACTCCTCTGGCATCTAGTGCCAGACTCACCTGTTGATGAGGGTAGGGCTTCGGGTAGTTTGGGGTAGAAAAGGTGCCATGGAACCCATTCAGAGACCCTCCACAGCCTACAGCACAGAGGGAGAGAGCATGAGGTATTGTTACTCTCTGCCTTGGGACACCATTCATTTTCTACCCAAGCCAATGAGGTGGTGATGCCTGGGAGAGCCTGGTGAGGAGAGGCAGAGAGAGCTGCTTTTCCCCCTCATCTCTGAGTATTTGGGGAAGGGGATAGTGGAAGGTGGTGAAAGATCAGGAGCCTGGGCTCAGAAGAGACAAGATCCTCCAAGGTCTACGTTTTCCTCCCCAGTGCTGGACGTACCTGAGTTTTTGCTACTGCAGTTGGCCTCATCACTAAAGTCCTTGCAGTTGGTGAAACCGTCACACACAGCATCAGACAGTAGGCAGAATATATGGTCACAGGCAAATTCATCCTTATTGCATCCCCCTACCAGAAGGGCATCCCTTGATCAGAGACTATCACTACCTCCTCTCCCCCATCTTTGATTCTACCATTTCCCCTTTCTGAAATGCCCACTCCCTCTATCTAAATTTTTACCATTCTTCAAGGCCCAGCTCAGATCTCACTTCCCCTATGAATTTTCTCTATCTACTCTGACTCAAACTTATCTCTCCCTCTGGATTTCATATGAAATTTTTTGTTGCTGTCATCCCAGCTCATACATTCAAACATTTATTAAGTGCCTACTGTATATAGAGCATTGTGCTAGATATTAGAAGAGCTACAAAGTTTGACAAGACATAGTCCTTGCTGTCATGGAATTTATAATCTAGTAGCGGGAAAAGACACAAATGTGGATAACGCTAATACCACTAAATAATTATGGAAAAGGCTGGAGAGAGACAACCTGCGTTTGCCCCACCAATGGAACGGAATAATTTTGTTGACAAACCGTATGGGGTAAAGAGAAAACACTTACCCTCTCTAGGGGTCACAGCCTGGTACCCAGCATGGAATCCAATCCCTCCCACACTACTATCAGAGACAAAGACTACGCGGAGTCGACTGGCATTGGTGTTGAGTGTGGCCGGTGGCACTTTTCCACAGACCCTGTAGTGAGCCAGGTGGGAGGGTGAGAGGGGCAGGGAGCAGGCAGGGCCAAGGTCGAGCTGCTGATCTATGATCTGCTGGTGTCCTCTGCTCCCTTGGCCCTAAACTGCTACGAATAAGGACAGCAACATCTCGAGCTGGTATGTGCTTTATCATTTTTTATAACTATTCTCTCATTGTATTCACATAACAACCTTGAGAGATGGCCAGGGTAGGCACTTTTTTTACAAATGAGGAATCTGAACCTCAGGTTGGTTAAGTTACTTGCTGCAAGCTACATAGCTGGCTAGTGGTAAAGACTCAAACTTAGATTTCCCCATTCTTGGGGCAGCTAGGCGGCACAGTGGATAGAGCACCGGCCCTGAAGTCAGGAGGACCTGAGTTCAAATCTGGCCTCAGACCAAACACTTGACACTTACTAGCTGTGTGACCCTGGGCAAGTCACTTAACCCCAATTGCTTAAAAACAAAAATAAAAAAAAAAGATTTCCCCGTTCTTTGTCAGATGTTTTGTTGATGTTTCCCATTAGGGCCCGGGGTAGATCTGCCCTTGGTTCCCTGCATTGAATTAGTGACTCAACAAACATTTATTAAGGCACTTACTAAGTGTCAGGCACTGTGCTAAGTGCTGGGATTACAAAAAGAGGGAAAAGACAGTCTCTGCTTTCAAGGAGCTCACAGTCTAATTACAGGAGAGGAGGAAATGTTTTGAGAGGGTTAGGGTAGGGTATAGAGTGAGACAACGTACCTGACCATGGAACTCTCCAGGCTGCCTTGTTCTTCTGGCTCTAGGGAGATCTCTAGCCAATCAAACAGGCAGGAGGCCACATCATCCGTGCTGAATGCCTCTATTTTGAGTTGTACTACCTGGTCAGGTGCCACCTGGATATGCCACATGCAGTAGGCATTGGGTGGATATGGGTCCGGGTAGTTGGGAGAAGCGAAGGAGCCCTCTGGGCCAAGCAGGAGCCCCCCACAGGCTGAAGATGGCAGCAGACAATCACAGGTGAGAGGTCAGGGGGTCAGAGCTGGGCATCAGAGGACGTGGGGAAGATGGCTTCTGCTCTAACTTTAGGCAGGATTGTCATGTGGAAGCAGGGTTAGACTTATTTTATACAGCTCCCCAGGACAAAACTGAGACCAATGGGTGGGAACTACAGGGAAGCAGATTTTAGTTCAAAATACAGAAGGATGTTTTCAATAATTGGAGCTGTCTGAAAATACAATGAGGCATCTTCCAGGGTAGTGGGCACCTGGGGATTGGCAGTTCAAGCAGAAACCAGGTGACTGCTTGTGAAAGATTTTTGTCTCTAGTAAGGGTTGGATTAAATGGCCTCTAAGAGCCTGTAATTCTGGAGTCTTTTTCTAGAGGGCTGTGTTCTGTTTCAAGTGACCCATCCCAAAGGCCCCCATCTCTAAAGACTGTACTTTTCCCATGACAGCCTGACTTCTAGGGGAATCTTGGAATTGGGGGGTGGGGTGAGGGGAGGGTAAGGAAGAAGAAAAATGCCACAGGCACTCACTGGGCTCAGGGGTAAGGTCCGTGGCCAGCTCTCCTTGAATACCAGGGCTGGTGACATCTGTGACATTACTGAACCCTTGAGGGGAGAGAAGTCTGGGAGGTGCTCCGGGTGGAGATGTAGGCTTCGGCTCTGGGAACAGGAAGTCAGAGAAAGGTGTACAGAGGGGTCTGGACACCTGAGGAAGCCCAGGGTACTTTGAGCACCCTGTAGATAGCATTAGGGAGAATGCCCAAAGGGAGGAGTTATGGCCGCTCTGAGTTCAAGGTTCAATTTCTCAGCCCCCTAGTCCAAGCAGGCATCATGACTGCTATTCTGCTTTCTACTTGAAGACACTCACGGGTGAGGATGATGATGGTGAGAAGTCCCAGCAGAAAGAACAGCAGAGTAGAGAGGAGAGCTGCACACAGCCAGGAGAACTGGCAGTCTGTTCGGTATCTCCAGACCAGACCACCTGCTGGTGAAGTCAGGGGTGGGCAAAGCTTGAAGGTAGCCCTGACCGATCTAGGCTCATGACCCTTCTCCTGGTTTGCTCACATTACGTGGCCCCCTTTAACTTACTCTAATTCCTCTGGACTGCCCTCCTCCTGTTATGGAATAAGAAGAGCATAAGATCCAGACCCGAAAGGGATGGTGACAGTGGAAAGTGCCCTGGGAAAGAGCTACAGGACCTATGTCCAAATGCTGCCCCTGTTGCTCACTCCCTCTGTCACTGGCCAGGGTCAAGTCACTTAAAGTGCTCAGACATCAGTTTCTTCATCTATAAAATGAGGAGGTGGCACTGGATGACCAAAGAAATCCTATAATCTTCAATATCATCTAGTCCAACCCCTCCATTTTACAACTGAGGAAACTGAGTCCCAGAGAGATGAGGTGACACGCCCAAGATGGTGAGGTAATAAATAACAGAGCCAGCATTTAAACCCAGGTCTCTTGAATCACAAATTGAGTGCTCTTTACAGGGCACCATAGCTGCTCATTTCCCACTCTCTCTCTCCCTGGCCCTGATTGTTACCATGGCAGTGAGCTCTAGGGCTGCTCCTGTTTTTCCGACGAGCTGGAGATAGGGTGGGCAACCCAGCCTCAGGCTCAAAAGCTAGATTACAGAATTCAGGCTGCAGAGGAGAGAAACAAACACCAAACGTTTAGGCTAATGTCTCCAAGACAGTGTCACTCACTGCTGTTTGGAACAAGTTTCCTTTGGGGCACTGCCCACCGTCAGACCGATTTTTGAACTTAGACTGAGTAGTCATCTCTTGCTAAGGAGTTGTCATTGCCTTCCCCCTACCTTGCTCCACTTTGCTGTCTCAGCATAGAGGACAATATCTGTGTAGTCTTTCATGGCCCAGCGCCCCTCATAGCTTCCTTGGTGCCTCCGTGCCAGCCTGAGGCCTTCAGGCTTGCGCTCTGGCCCCCTGAGATAACAGAGGGTCAGATTCAGAAGGCAGCCGGTGTCCTCCGTAATGGAAGGCTTCTTTCCTTCACTCCACTCCCAGGCTGACCTCAGCAGATGGAGTCCAGTCATTGACTAGCTATGGGGTCTGGGTGGGGAGAGGGGGCAGCATCCCACAAGGAATGTGCCAAAGCACCAAATCTCCCTTTAATCCAACTCAGCTGAGGATGCTGAGGCCAGAGAAACCCGAGGGGTTCTTAAAGGGGCAGCGACCTGGTTGAAAACACCTACAAAGGCTTAGCAGTGGTATGTAAAATAGCCAAAGAGAAGCCATTGAAAAAATAGCTACTAAAAGCAGAATGATGCTCTCAGAAAAGGAAGCTTTCTGAACTAGAGAAACCAGGAAAGTCGATATCCAGAGGCTGTGTTCAGTATCTGACATCCTGCAGAAGACCAGTAGGGGTGAGCTGAGAACTTCAAGTGGTTGGGTGAGAAAATCACCCCAAGTTTCTAGTTTCTTGGGCAATTGTGAGGAAAAGGACAGTTCCAGGTAAAAGCTGGAACTTGGGACAGGTGCCAACAGACTGGGAATGGTTATGTAATAGGGATATCCCTAACCAGGGTCTAAGAAGACTCTCGGATCCCATGGGTTTTATTCTGCATCATAAGAGTCACAAGGGAAGTGCTAAACAGGAGATTCTAAAGCTAGCTAAGCAAAAGACCAAACCAAACCAAAAGAGGTTTGAGAGGATATAAGAGGAAGCTGTGGAAAGTGTTCCAGAGAAGAGGAGGAAGAAGTTGTGGGAATATGATCTGAAACTTTTCTTCCCTCTCTCTGTCTCTTCTCCAGTAGATTTCCTTAGCAGTGAGGAAGAAGGAAGGGGAAGACATAGCACGGTATTTTGCCAAAGGACTGATCCAAACTGAGAAATTGGAAAATGAGCCCAGAGAAGGGAGCAGCTTTCTTTAAAAAAAAAAAGTATTTTATTTTTTTCCAATTATATGTAAAAACAATTTTTACAAAGTTTTAAATTCCAAATTTTTCTCCCTCCCTCCCCTTCCCTCTTCCTAAAACAGTAAACAATTTGATATAGGCTCAGATTCTTACAATCTAGTCAATAGCTCACAAATGTTCAGATTCCTTAAGAATCTGGCCAATATGGCAGATCTTTAATAAACCTTGTCTTTGGCTGAAAAAAGGCTTGGGTCGAATTCGTTCAGGCAGGACTTGTGTGTCATGATTTTGGGGTCCCAGCACCCTTAAACCTCTAAGCCATAACATTTTAGTGGACTGTATGGGGAGCTGCCTATCCCCAAGTTCTTCTCCAGCCAAGACTGAAGGCATGTAAGCCTTCCTGCCTTCTTTCTTGCCCTGCAGTTGGGGTTGCTCTCCAAGCACCTAGGAAGGCTTGGAGGTGCTTTTCTGGCAGACAGTTATGAGGCTGTCTCACACTCGGCCTGATGCTCTCGAGCTCTTGGTCCAGTGGTTGGGTTCGAGGCCATGGACCTGAGTACACCTTCCACAGCATAGAGGACAAGGACGGATGCCCTATCCAGAAGCATATGCCCAATTCTGTCAATTCTCTCTGTGCTAGGGAATTAGGAAAACTGCAGGTGCTTTTTGGTTCCCTGAGGTTTACTTACTCCCCTCTATACCCCTGGAGCACTTCATGGAGGCTACAGGGAAAAGTTAGAACAGCTAAAAACATCTTAGCAGATTCTGGAGTTTTTGTGAACAATCATTAAGGAGTTTTGAAACACCTCCTTACAACCCTGGTCACTCCCTTCTCCCACTCCCTTCCCTTGAGTCAAGAGGGTATCTGTTAACCCCTCTCAAAGGAGAAGAGTTTGACCCTCTCTCCCACCTTTGAATTTGCTCTTCTCCACCTGAGGAAAGGAAGGAGGGGGGAGGGGCAGCAGCTACAACATGCAGCCCCACTGGCAAAGGCCTTGGGACCTAGGGCAACCTTTGCAAGCCTTTCACCTCAAACCGTGGGTACCAGCCAATGCCCCAACCCCATCGTCCCCTGGATGCAGCCTGTGCTTAGTTCCAGTCAGTCTCCTCTTTGGGACTCCCTCGAGGCAGGGACAGCTATGCCCCTTGCCAGCAAGAAGCAGTTTCAAAAGCCAAGACTTTTGCCCCTTACCCCAAAAGAATTTGGGTCCCATTTGTTTGAGAGGGGAATGATGGAGATGGAATCTGAACCTCAAAAGAAAAAGACCATGTCTTTAGGATCTGGACCCCAAAAAGGAAAAACCCTGGACTTTCCCACATGGCCAAATCTCTGGCATTTGCCTGAGGCTATAACCCATTCAACTGGCCTTTCATTGTGGCTATACTCAATCTCCCATTTCTATTCTGTTATCTCCTGATTGCCCCTGGCCACTTCCCACCATTAATCCTATCTAGACCCCATTCTCCTCCCTTGGTCTTGGGGTCCAGGTCCCAGCAATCTGTTCACTTCAGTTTACTGGCCACTCCCATCCAGATTCTCCTTAGACCCCTCCTCCAGTTACCCCAGACAACTTGGCCATCCCTGGATCCCTCTTTCTGTATATAAGATTCATCTTGTCTCCATTAAGGTGCTCAGATTCTTATAATCTAGCCAATAGCTCACAAATGTTCAGATTTCTTAAGTCTCGCCAATATGGCAGATCTTTAATAAACTTTGTTTTTGGCTGAAAAAATAAAAACAAAAAACAATTTGATATAGGTTTATATGTGCAATTGTTGAGGGTTAGGAGTTTAGGGGTGCTGTCACCCCAAAATCACAAGACGTGGGTCCTGCCTGAAAGAATTTGACCCAAGCCTTCTTGCAGCCAAAGACAAGGTTTATTAGAATATCTGTCATGTTGGGCAGACTCTTAAGGAGTCTGTTAGTGAGCTATTGGCTAGATTGTAAGAATCTGAGTAACTTAATGGAGACAAGATGGACCTTATATACAGAAAGACTGGGAGAAATCTAGGAGTGGCCAAGTAGTCTAGGGGAGGGGGGGGGGAGTGAACTGTGAGGTAATAGAATGCCAGGGACCTGGACCACATGGCCAAGGGAGAATAGAGCCTAGCTAGGATTAAGGGTGGGAAGTGGCTGGGGGCCATAAGGGAGGCAAGACAATGGAGAGCCAGGCTAGGTTAAGGGTAATGGCAAAGCCACAGAGAAAGGCCAGTTGATGGGATTATAGCCTCAGGCGAATACCAGAAATTTGGCCATGTAGGAAAGTCCAGGGTTTTTCCTTTTTGGGGTCTAGATCCCATCCTCATCACAATCATGTAAAACATGTTTCCATATTAGTCATGTGAAAGTAGAAACAGGCCAAAAGAAAAAAACACACACACACACACACACACACACAAAGAGAGTATTCTTTTACAAGTAAGGAACTGAGGCAAACAGGGGTAAATGACTTGCCCAGGGTCATACAGTTAGTATGTGTCTGAGGTTCAATTTGAACTCAGGTCTTCTTGACTCCAGACCCAGCACACTATCCACTATGCCATTTACCTGCCTGCTCTCTAATGTTTGCATTCATCCACCTATCTCTCTGGCCCAAGCTGAGAGATGCATTTTATAGTCCTCTTTCTACAGGTTCGCTCTCAACTAACCTAGAATTCCCTAGAGTGGGCAGAGGGTCTCTGGCCTCTCAAGTAGTGGTTTCCATGCTGCATCTAAATAATAACATTAATAATAGAGCTTTAATGTTTATAAGATACTCTCTTTAATAACACCAACAGCAAAACAATTGAAACTGAATGCCGTGAAACTGTAATGATCAAGCTGCCCCGAAAAAAGAGATTTGAAAAGAGATATTCCTCCCTTCTTTGCAAGATAAAAGACTATTAGTGTGGAACATTATAGATCATGTCAGACTTTTTTGATATTTGGTTTATTTTGCTGAATTGTTTTTCCCTCCCTCTTTTTTTCTCTTTGTTATAAGGGATGGCTCTCTGATTCTAGTAAGGGTAAAGAGAGGGATACATCAGGAAATGTAGGTGATAGCAAAACAAAAGATTGGCACACTACTGCACTATAAGAAATGATGAAAAGGTTGATTTTTAGGAAAACATGGAAAGGCTTGCATGAAATAATTCAGAGTGAAAGGAGCAGAACCAAGAAAATGTTGTATACGGTAATGGCAATATTATTCAAAGAGTGATTGTGAATGATTAAGCTATTGTGGGTAATATGAATGTTAAAATCAACTGCAAAAGACCTATGAAGGACAATGCTCTCTACCTCCAGCGAAAGAACTGATATATGGAAGTGTGTATTGTATGGTTGCATACAGACATACATATATATATATATATAACGTTGGCCTTCTCTAAATGTGGGGTTGGGAGGGAAGGAGACAGCTCAGAAATCAAAATGTTACAAAAAATATATTAAAAAAACCAAAAGATACTAACAAACTTTATTTAATAACCAACACAATGCTTTCCTTACAATAACCTTTGCCATTATTTTGCATACGAAGACACTAGGGCTCAAAGAGGTCAGCAAATTACTCATGGTCACACACTTAATGTGAGAGAGAGGTTCAAACCTGTCAGACCTGACTTTAGGTCAAATAGTGTGTCTATTACTCTGCACTTATCCTAACTTCCTTTCCCTCTAACTATATATTTGCTGATGGAAATATAATAAAGGTATCATATTCCCATGACTTCAAAAGGCCAAAATAATTCAACCTAATACACAGGTCATGTCTCTCCCCAAGTTCCCAAAAGCCAATCTAGTTCTTAGATCCTGTTTCTGAGGCCCAGGAAGAAATCTCATTGAGTTCTCAGGCAAAATCTAATTACCCAGATGAAGAGATTTCCTTCAGAGAAAGGACAGAGACTCCCTCCACAGCCAGCTCACTGCCCTACTGGGTAGAATGGACAAACCTGAGACACCCTTAGAATGGAGAGCTGTGGATAGAAAGGATTCCCCTTGCTCTACCTGAAA